GAGAAGCGAATCTCAAACATTCTGGCATTGTTGCTTAGTGCTACCAAAAGACTGCATTTTATCAGCGTCTTCAACAAACAGGACAATGTCATCTGCGTATTCTAAGTCGATAAGTGGACCTCCTGGATGGAGATCAATACCCGAGAACTCAGTCGACGAGAAAGTTATTTCCATCAGTAGATCTATGATGAAGTTAAATAAAAATGGGGAAAGTGGACAGCCTTGACGGACGCCACTTGAGGTTGCAAAGGTAGATGACAGTTCGCCATAAGCTCTGACTCGACTAGTAGTGTTCGAGTAAAGAGCCTTCACAAGGTTTACGTAGTTCTGAGGTACGCCTTTCAATGATAGACACTTCCACAGAACCTCTTGGTCTACAGAGTCAAATGCGGCTTGTAGGTAAAAAAACTATCATTGTCGGACGCCGATGAGCATGTCTGTGTTCTAAAACCTGATGAATGGTGAATATGTGGTCGATGCAGCCACGACCAGGTCTGAAGCCAGCTTGATTCTCTCGTGTTTGCAGTTCACGAGTCTTAGTTAAGCGTCTGATAATTATCGAGGCTAGTATCTTAGGTGCTATAATAGTTAACTTCGCTCTCCATCTGTCGCTTCGAAAAGCTTGTTTCACGTGCGTTTATCCGGGGACCCTGTGGCATCTTCGTCTGGTCTCGCTGGTGTTGGTGTCGCATTAAGCGCTAGAGCTGAGACAGCACTGTTCAATTGGATCCCCACTAACAGTCGGTTATGTGCTGTTAGATTAGAAAGTTCCATCAAAGCGAAAAGAAATCGGCGTGAAAAACGATGTCTTTTCGTCATCTCCGCCTATGCTCCGACAGATTGCAGCCCGTATGCAATCAAGAATGAGCTTTACGACCAGTTAACAGTTGTTCTACAGAAAGTGCGTTCGACAGATATTGTAGTACTAGCTGGAGACTTGAATGCTCAGGTCGAGCACAGAAGAGAATCGTTTAGGTGGCGAATGGGGACTTGTTGGTCGCAGGACAGATAACGGTGACCGTCTACTGCAACTGTGCACAGACCACAACCTGTTTCTGGCTAGCAATAACTTTCGGCACAGTCATCGCCGATGTTACAACTAAGAATCGAACCGAGCTAGCTTCTAGGCTAGATACCCCTCCACCGAAAAGTATAGATGAGCATTGATCGCAACTTCATTACGCCATTAAAATGGCGGGTGAAGCCACTTGCGGCTTCGCGATACGTCCCGCTTATAAGCACAGGGTTTCCCCAGGCTCCTTACAACTCATCGAAGCCCGTCAGTCTACTCCGGGTGACCGTGAGTTTGACCATAAACGAAGGATGTCGTTGGCCTGCTGCTCCGGCAACATCGGTCAGACTGTCCTGCCCTCCGTGACCGGTGACGACTGATCCACCAAATGAGACGGAAGTCCGCAAAGAACTCCAACTCTTGAAGCGTTACAAATCACCTGACCCAGATGACTTACCTCCGGCTCTTTTTAAAGATAGTGGTGACTTTCTGACTAAGGAACTGACGACGTTGTTTACAAAGGTCTGGGAACTAGAGAGCGTACCAACGTCATGGAATGAGCCGATAGTTGTCCCTATCTTTAAAACGGGTTCACGTCGTTCCTGTATCAACTATCGAGGGATAAGTCTACCTCCGATCGTGTCCAAGCTATTGGCTTCCGTCGTACTTCGTACGTTGTTCAATACCAGAGAAAGATTGACTCGCGAGGAGCAGGCTGGTTTTCGTTCTGGTCGAGGATGTATTGATCATATCTTCACCCCCCGCCAAATGTTGGAACACCGTCATACTTATCACCGGCCAACAATCGTAGTGTTTCTTGGCATCAGGGCTGCCTTCGATTCATTGGACAGGACTGTTCTCTGGGATTGTCTATTGAAGAAGGGTGTGCCTGAGAAGTTTATTAACATCTTAAAGGCCCTATATACAAACACCTCATTCAAGCAGTGGGGTTAGACAGGGTTTCCCAATCTCACCATTCATATTCAGTCAGTAATCTTGAGTGATTTTAGAGGTATTAGGGCAGTTATCACTTCCTGGTTGCCCACACCGTACTTATTGGAACCTTGCGGCCGGACATGGAAATCTGTAGGATAAGGCGAGATGTTCATTTTTAAGGTCGACCTTTTCTAACCCCACCCCTCCTTGTGTGAAGACAACATCGTTGTTATGTTGGTCGCCTGAAGGAAACACCCTACTTCCGTCACACCTCTGTATAGTCCGCAGTACAACTTCGTCCTCTGACCTTGGGTTTGCTGCTTTTAGTCTTATCGCTCTTCAACAGACCTGTCCGGCATGGCAGGACCTTGAGGAACGATTGTTCCAGCCAGTATAGCTCGATTGGTTCATCACGAAAGGCAAGCCCGACCACCACGTCAAGATAGCGGCAACGGTCGGTATCCTTAATCAACTTTGCTATCGATGACGTTCTGGAAACAGTTTTGATGGATGTAGGTAATGGTAGTGTGAATTTATCGCCTGGAGAAAGACTTCCTGACCTTCAGTATGCGGATGGTGTTGTCTTACTATGCGATGATACCTGAACCATGCAATCTTCACTCAATCAGTTGGCAATTAGTGTCCGTAGGTATGGTATATATTTTACACCTTCCAAATGCACAGTACTCCTATAAGACTGGCGGGACCCTGAACCTCCACTCACCCTGGGTAGTGAGCGGATAGAAGTAGTCGAGAAGTTCGTGTATCTGGGTAGCTGCATAAGTGCTGGTAGTGGGGTCAGTGATGAAACCAATCCATGTATAGTGAAAGCCAGAGCGGCTTATGCCAATCTGGGCCATCTTTGGCGCCTTCGTGATGTTAGTATGGCTGTAAAAGTTCGGACCTACAACGCGTCGGTGAGAGCAGTTCTGCTCTATGCTTGCGAAACCTGGCCTCTCTGAGTTGAGGATGTTAGACGACTCTCTGTGTTTGATCATTGTTGCCCCCGAAAGGTTACTGACATCCAGTGGCAACACCATGTTAGTAATGCAGAGGTTCGGCATCGTGTGTTCGGGCGAAGCGACGATAATTCAATTGGTGTCACTATCTTGAAACACCGACTTCGGTGACTTGGACATGTCCTACGAATGTCGTCTCAGAGAATTCCATGTCGTGCACTATTTGACGACGCTGGGACTGGTTGGAATAAAGTGGAAAGGTGGCCAGTCTACGACATGGTGTCGTGACAAGAAAGAAGGATGTACAATACTGGCTTCTGTTGGTCTTTCGCGACTCCCTGGTTGGGGTCCAAGAGATGATACAACGCAGTGGTTAGAGACGTTATCACATATGGCTCAGAATAGAAGCCAGTGGCGATCCTGCTGTAACCTTCTTTTACTTTCTTCATAAAAAGTGGTTGTATCTTCCTTAACTTAAGGATTTCTTCTGGTTGTACCCTTCCGTTTGCCCCATTGTTATTATTTTGATTCCACTACCTTACACTAGTTTGCTCGTTATTGTTTTTTGTACTCTTCTCACCTTTGTTTTCTTTTCGAATTCTCATTGTTTTGTATGGCGCATATACATTTGGTGCCCTCTTCTACCAATATTTATGTGTTCAAATATATAAATAAATAAAATACATGTTTATGGTTTAATACCACAGAAAATATGTAACAAAATGATATGAATTTAAATGCACCTATGATTAAGTTTATTCTGATTCGTTCTAATTACATTTCTCAGTGCTTCTGTATTAGGGAATTAACTACACGGTCAGAATGCACTGGTAACACGAAGGAGATTTTAACAAACCGAAGTTATTGATACTTCATAAATATTTGACTAGCAAATATCAATACGTAAATGCTGGATAATCTAAACTACAAATTTTAACCCCTTGAATTTTCTAAAAGAAAACAATTGATCTACTGGTCAAATTATATCAACAGAGATACTATTCAGATAATACTACGAATTGACTGTCAAATAATACATCAATAGTTAAAATAAAGTTTGGTAAAAAGATCAATAACATTTAACATGTGACTGTCATGTCAATTTATCACTTAAAATTAACGAATGCCGACAAATAATTTTTCAAAGTGTAACAACTGGTACATACGACGTGATAGGATAGGGATTTCGTACTATCAGTTCATTAGTTGCATCTATACAGAAGTTAATGGGAACACTTTTGACATGAACTGAAGCTAAATGATACACATTTTATAGATACATTTTGTATTGTTTGTTTGTATCTTCCCATTGATGTTTAGGACCGCAATTGATCAGCCTCTCATTTTAGAGATACTAAGAGTGATGTTAAGTTTTATGATGCTTTTACTGTTCACCAGTATGATAAGCAAGACTTGCAATACTAATTAATTATAATGCTAATAATTCATACAAAATTTGTAAAAGTAACCACTACGTAGCTGTAATGGCAGCAACAATGCTTTGCATATGAGGATAAGATGATGAGAAAACTCGAATCAAAAACTTAGGGGATCGTCTATTTATCCTAATGGAGTATAGGGTAATCGGGGAAACGTTTAAAAAATGAAGCCAAAAGATTTATCATCAAGTTGACAAGGTCCGCAAATAAACTGAAGTAACCACTAAAGGTAGGGATTTGTAAATATATAATAATAAATGAGACGAATTCCATGAGATTTCTATAAACACGAAAACAGGAACGCTAACCTGAAAGATTGAAAACAGAAAAACAAAGCCGAAATATTTGCCATTACTACCTGTGTGATCTTCATCACAATAGGTTTTTTAGGTTGGAATTACTAACATTTAGAATGTTACGAGGACTACCAATTTTTTAGCAAATAAACTAAATGTAAAAAATCTATATTCTTCAATATAAAATATTTATCATTCAATATTAAAGGGATTCAGATACTTCTAGATTATTAAAATTCTTTTAACCATCACTAATATTCTAGACCCATATACGTTTATCATCTAACAAGATGGAATCTTTTAGTCTGTATTCTTTTAAAACCGACTCGGTAATTTCCATTTGAAGGAACGACATAAATGGTACATAAATATATATTTATTACTGTTTTACTTTGAAAAGAGAAGACATAGAAATGAAAATTGAAAAATTAACACCATGATGGATGATAATCATCATCGAACAGCATTACAAACAGATACAAAGCTCACAAGTACTCTCTCTTTCTTAAGCACATACATAGACATGTATAGTAAAAAGAAAGGTATAGAAACATTATGAAGAATTAAATCAATAATGATACCTAATAAAATAAACCCATAGATAAATATACAGTGTATGAAAATATAAAAACTCTATGAACAAGATGGATAAAAATTTTTTAGAATGAGTACAACAATTAAGCTTGAATAGTTCAGTTTGCAATAATCAGATAGAAAACAGGTTCAATGAATACACACTGACCAGAAAGAGATGACGATGTAGAGTTAGTAGAAGGAAAATTAACTTCTTGACACTTACAAACGAGTTTAAGATAGAATTAAATCTTCATACTTTTTGAAAGCCTTTGGTTAATTAAATTGAGGAGTACATGATTTGATTGTGCGCTCAATGAATCCATCTTTTTCTACTAAACAGATCATATCTGCCACAGTTTGTTCAACAGCAGCGCTTATAACGCGAGAAGACATCTGGAAAAACAAGAAAAAACTACTAATAACATGAACAAGTAGATACTGAAAAATTATATAGCAGATCACTTAAAATTCTATTAAGTACACGATAAATCTGAAAAGTTTCACTGATCTCTTACTATACTAATCAACTAACCACTGAAAAGACCATTAAGAAAGACATTCTTTTGTGGAGTGACTGATTTATTGAATTTTCCTATACTGAACTAATGATAGTATTTAATCGAATCAATACACGTACGCGATGTTGATCACTTAGATAAAAACGATAACACATACTAACAAACGAATTTGAAACAAACAAGTGGAACCCGATACTTTATGGGTGAAGTAAAAAGATGTATGGTAGCAACAGTTTCAGTTATCTGAGCAACTGCACTAGTTCTAGAGGGTTAAGGACTAACGAGACACTTCAACACATTAAATTTAACGACCTATATTTCTACTAAACTAGGGGATAATATACCAGTATAGAGGTGTAGTCTAGTACGTTACATGGTCAATATAGATATCTGATCAATTATGCCCATTTACGATCATCGTTCACGTATGGTACAACTAGTCGGGAAGTAAACGGTAAAAGAGCTTTTAAAAAGTTAAATTAATCAATGAAGTATTAAATCTGTAGTGAATGAGATAAATCTTGAATTGGAACCATAGAAAAAGGAAAGAAAAAATCGATGGGATCAATCATGCAAAATTATGCATTGCAGACTGGTAACTAACTATTTTCTTAATAGCGAAAATGGGTGGATAAAAGCTTTGTGTGATTATCTAGAAGTGAACCAGGGATGTCAGATGAAGATCAACTCCGTCTTAATACTAAACCTTCAGAGTTCCACATTGAAGAAGTTTTCTATCTTTCTTTCGACGCTATCAAATAAATGATTTTTGCAAAGCACTTACCGGTTCCCAGTCTGTTACGTCACTCGGAGGATATTTAAAATATGGACCGAAATTGACAGAAACAGTAGCAGATTTATATATTGATATTGCTGGATAATAAGTGCCTGCATAGATATTCGTAAAAGCTGCTCCCATACATTTACCATTGTGGTAGAACGTAATCTGAAAATATATTAAAAACTAAGAATACATTGTATGTAAAAAATGTACACCCAGACACACACAAACACATACACACTATTCCCGAAATCAGATTAAACAGTTCGAAAACTCAAACAGATAAATATTCACTTATTATTACGTCAAACGCTCATAACCCAGGATGTATGAATAAAAACTTTTTGTACTAAACGTATATTACAGCATCACTGTGTAAGAATGTGTATAATTTAAGTAAAACACTTCATAATAAGAGAATTTAGTTACGAGTTGATCAAGAAGCGTATATCTTCACTGGGATTCAGATAAACGATAGTCGATAATTCCATAGATTACCAGGACCAATCAACACAGGACAACTGAATCCAACAAAAGTGTCAATACGGTCTTGAAAAAAATTAATTGCCCCACCGAATTACAAGAACTGTGGTGTAATATATTAAACAGATAGTTCAGTTTACAAGACTAACGTCTAAATCTTGAATTCATGGTCATAACTGCACATTTATCTTAATGCAGAATCGGATATAAAATAAAATTTAAATATACGAACTTGACAAGAAACAAATACAACTGCGTATAAAATTTGTGACACCAATATGAACAGTTTTATTTTCAAAACCTGTCAGTGTGTATGATAAAAGAGAAAGAAAAATAATTAAACTCTCCACCCACTTTCATTTTTTCTACTTAATGGAACGATACTAATTGTGATCCGTAAAAACAACCAGCTGGACAAAAGATACAACGGATTTAGAGATTTAGAAAGAAAAGAGAATTATTTTCAGGAGGACAGAAAGAAAGAAACAATTGAACCTTTTTATGCATTTAATAGAGTGAAAAGAAATCCAATCAATTGTCTTAGTGGATTATTTAAGAAAACTGAGAACAACAGCAACAAGAAATTAATGTTTTCGAGAAAATATTGGATTTGCGATTATTAACGGACGTAGATCAGTGTTTGTTTAATGAAACATATTGTCACACAAAAAACGATTATTAAACACACATGTTCTATAATTATCATATGGAATATCAGGGAGAGCTGAATGAAATACAATCTAGACATGGAGACGACAACAGTAATGCCAAAATCCATGGTGACAAGTAATTGCAGTGAAATTTAATCAACAAGCATACTTTTTTTACTAACACTATTTATTCCTACTACGTTTTTTAAAAAAAAGGAATAACCTAACAATAAAGTAGTTAATATAATAATTAACTAAGAAAATCTGACATACGAAAAAGAATGAGTCAAAGTGGACATTGTCAAAAATCTAGTCGTTGATATAATGAAAACTTCACTACACTGGATGATCTTAAAATGAAGAAAAAACAATCGTATTACTGATCTAAATCGTTTAGAATTCCCACTTACCTACAACTTACAGAAGTAATGAGAAAAGGACTGAAAGATAAAACTCATAGTAACGCTAAAATATGCCCGTTTAAACACGTCTTGTTTTGGTTTCATCTGTTTACCCATGATAAGATATTTTAACATTTTTAAACATACTTTTAGATTACATGGATGTTATTTGACTAGAATGTGTAATACACAAACGCTACGAAATAAATATAACGCTTCTACGTTACCGACAAAAACGATAAAATTCCCTACGAATTCGATCAAAATAAATTAGTAATATGTTGTCACGTCTATAAACATAAAGAAGTAATACGAGAATCAGAAAGCAACAATTAATATAAAACGAACAAACAAGAGTCCATCTCACTTTCGAAGTACGACTATACTGTGTTAACTCTAGTTTAACATCTGAAGGAAACTAATGCATATTATCTATAAGATTATCTGCAATTATAAATGGTTAATATTAGTTAACTCATAACTGGTCAAGTTTTACACACTTTCCATAAATTTTCCCGTTGACCAATTATATAAGTCATAGTAGATATCGCCACTATATGTTAGTTGAAAAAAAGTCCGGGTGGAAAATTTCTATGACTTAAAGGTTTTTCTTATATACATTTGACTCTAATTAACCACGTTGAACACTTTATCACAGTATGAATGCGTGAATGGTTTTTAATCGTCAACGTAGCCGAGTTGGATGTCTTGTGTGGACTATTCTGATCACTTATTCAAAAACAATCACTGTATCCTCATTAACAAGTCGGAAAATTCTGTTTACTTTCTGCTTAACAGTATATATTGTTCGCTGATGGCTAATTCACTGTCAGTAATATGACACCCTTAAAACCAAATCCCGAGACTGAAGTAGGAAATACAGATCTATTTAAGAGTTTACACTGACTAGACCAGTTTAGATCTTGAATACTGTAGGGTATATAGAAATAAATTTATAGTCATTTAGTTAAATAATTCTGATATGATATTTGCACTGTTACTGTACAAAATCCATAACTATCTGATACCTTAGCAGTAAGTTGACGAGTCTGCCCCAAACTCTTTTATAGTACCACTTACTTATTTCTATTCATAAACGTATTACAACAACATCTGAGATATCGTAAAATGAGATTAAAAATGTCACCTTTCACTGAAATAGGAATCTATCCTATTAGACTTCACAAATTTATCAATATTTAAACAAACTTGGTAGACAAAATGTTTTCGAAAAAAACTAAGACATTTATATACAACAGGTCACAACGTCGCAAATTTGAAAATTCGAAATACTGACATGTATCATAATAATCAAAAATCCATTGGTTAAACACTTCTTACTCACCTTACTACCAGGCAACGGATGAAGTAATTTTTCCGCTTTTGTCGGCTCATCCTTCTCCTCAAAGTAAAAAGAATTCCGAAATCTGATGAGTGGCTAGTAGAGAAAAACAAGAGCCAAAAATTACATGACATTTATTGGAATCAGGATTTATTTCGTAAACACAGTTATATGATATACCACTTATATGAAATTTCATTCCTCGTCTAACCATATTATTTAAATGGAGCAGACAATAAACTATGTAGATAATTATATACATCAAAAGAAATATGCGCATAGGAACATAGCAAGCTTAGAAACTGATATCTTAATTGAAATTTAGAAATAGTTATGTAAAATATCATAAAAAACTGAAGGTCCTGTATATGATATTGTACAGAGTAAAGGGTATACCAATCAATCGTATAAGACGTAGGACGTCCCGCTAATATCCATCAGCCCAGATTTCCATACCTCACATCACTTTCTTTTTTTCGAAAGTTCCTAACCCCAAGCAAAGCAATTTTCCAATGCTTCCTGATTAGTGATGGTTATCCAGAGTGATAAAAATACATAGACTGATAGAGTTTTCGTAGGCGACAACAATTAATTATACATACCTACAAACAAACTCATTTTATACATTTATTCCACCTCAGTGCTAAAATGTGAATGTTAAAAAGATTTAATGATATATCATTAATAGCCAATGGTACATTGAAGCCGTCACGTTAGGTTGATCTTCAAATAATACTATGATTCAGTGGTAATATATTGCAAAATCTCGAAAACGTTGAAAAAGAATAAAATTCGAATTGAAATCAAAAGATCAGCTTACACGATCTTTATATGTCTCAGGAAGATAATTGGAAGTACAAAATAAATTTTTATATTTATTCATATTCTGTCCACTAGATGTATTGTTTAAGTTGGATTTAATGTCGCCAGCCACAGATGATAATGAATTTGCTTGGGGCGTTTTAAACAGTCCAGAAGACTCTGAACATTGATTTTCTAACGATGTGAAAGGACCAGTAGTTGAAGGTAAATAGATCATACATCCAATAACATCATCTTTTTTATAACCTTCATCAGCGTAATGTTTTCCCCGCGACTCATGAAATGCGGTGCCAAGACGTGAACGCCAAGAATAACTAAACTTATCATAGCCACAAGGTGCTTGTAAGTTACCTGTAGTTATAAAGATGACAATAAAGGTAATTAGTTGTAGGAAATGGTACATAAATACACGTACCAATCATCTACAATACAGCTAGCCTGAAATATAATTATTCAATAAATGCTAAATGATCAAAACTAATAAGCTAAAAAGATTTAAGTGTTTAGCAAAAAGTAAATCGAGTATAAAACAGAGTGGAATACTTAAATGGTTAAATATAGTGGGAGTATGAATAAGTATATCGATAAAAAGTGTATTGGCATACGAAAGTTTTAATTCTGTATCATGCTATTCAAAAGCCCGATAGTAAAACATTTGGGACAATAAAATATACGGTTATGTATCCAGCTCTTTTAACGTAATTCAAGTAGCTTAAACATAGAAAACCTGAAGCTATTCTCAAATACGAAACCATTATATAACACCATTCAAACGAATGAAACACGTAAAGGCATTTTTTGAGTACCTTCGTACAACTAAATTGTTGTGTACATGTAGTGTCTTTACCGCCTTGATCCAATGATACCCAACAATCTACTGTTGGGTCATCAGCTCCAAAATACTGTCTTCACTCTACGGAGATACTGTATAAGTAAATATAAAGCCTAGAACTATATATTTAACGAAACTGAATATTACGACTCAATATACGTAGCAATTTTTGAAGGTTGATTTTTTATGGTTTGGATATGTCTTGTTGATTTGGTCCTAGCGACTTCTATACCAAAGTGATGTTTAAAAAATGGACATACCTGAGAACAACACTGTCTTGATATACACAATATCTTAGACTTTATGAATGACCTAACTCTGACAGAACCGTTTAATCCAAAAAATATTAGCAACCAATACTACATTAATTCCGACATTTAATCAGATAGCATATACTTGATTGGGTTTTAAAAGCACACATTAAAACGCTCACCAGGATAACAGACGAATAAATCATCAGTAATGTACATCTGAAATTTTCGTGTTAACGTAATGCTATTCACCTGCTTTACACTTGATTCAGTACATTCAATATACACCTGTATACCGTAAAAACTCAACTCTATACAATATTTGAGGTATAAGTTAGCATTTATTTATTAATATGGAGGCGTATGAAGATAGAAGTTCATTACTTATGTCATTGAACTAACGTCCCAATTTACTTATGTTTTTGAGAAACTGACCATTTATCATCAAACATGATAGATATTCGACAACTCACCATACATTTGAGACCAACCGATTCTAGTTGCAGAACCTTCTGGTTGCTCTGTGATAGTTGCTTCGAAGTACCAAGTACCGGAATTAACGCTATGAGTGGCACGGACCATACAATAACCCTTCTCACCAGTAACTGACAACTGCGATTCGTGAACTTTCAAATGATTTGCTATTAACGAAGACAAACAATATACATAATAAAACTTAGTAAGTTCAATGTATACAGAATTTCTAATTATCTGGACTATTTATGAAATGACTCATCCCAAGGTAAAATAGTGTTTGAATGTCTTTTTTCATGTAAATAAGAAGGGGGAGACACTTTAATTATAAAATCTACTTAATCTCTTCGGATGAAAGTGAATAATAAATAAATTCACTGGTGTTTATGATATTACAACTTACTACAATTTGTTTTCCTTCGATTTCGAGTCTTATAAATAAGTATTAATATTTGTCAAAAACAATGATAGAATTGTGCCGACAAGTTATCAGATATCTTGCTGGGAATTTTCAACAACTTGATAGGCATTTCAATTATACATATCTACATCTTTGGAATAAGAACAGATTAACACTTAAGTTGTAGATGCTAGCATAATTGAAAAACTTGTTAACAGAAAAATGTATTCAGTGAACTAAAGCAAAAGAAAAGTTAGTTAAGCAAATAATACCTTTCCAGACTGGAAAATAATGACACTTAATCAGCTTGCGAGAACTCGTGAAATTCGAGCGCCACAAGTAATGTACAAAATCTACCAATGCACGTTGTTATACACTGAACTCCTAGGTTTACGCTTTCAATGTCATGTACGTTAAACAGGCCTCTACGTCATATCATGTCTACCGAGGCGGTATTGTCAAATTAAGAAATAAAACCAATCTACGGAATTACTGTGTGCTTAAGCTATGGAAACTGTTGTAGATGACAACTTAAAACCTATTTTAGGGGGCGAGATGCACCCGTTTTTCGAAATAAACATATTGTACACTGACTTATTTTAACACATCTCCAGTTTTACACTCCCAAAGAAAAGTCAACCTGAGCTAAGAAACCATTATTCATGCTTTATAATGTTCAGATTTTATACGTCATTCCAAAAAAACTAAACAGATCTCAAAAAAAACCTGACGATATTCTAGGTAAACTACTACAAGAAAAAATCGGAAAACCCAGATTTCATCTGAGACAAAAGTTATTTGAAGAGTTTGTTTAATTATTTTACGGTAACATTAAGCTTACCCCGATCACTCAAAGATAAAACTACTTGTGAGCATAAAAACACACGATAAAAGAGACCAGGTATGGGTTTCCCAGCTGTAAACTCGCATTCGTCCCACTGCTCCCGACCGGAGGCATGTTTATCCGGTTCCACCAAAATGTAACTAAAAAATTTTTAAACCAAATAATTACGAGATGTACAGTACGGTGAAATATATATCACACAAACTTGTTCAAACCCCACTTTATAAACATGTACTTGATAGATGAGTCGCATTTATTTAAGAGATGAGTGAAAGCTGATTGAGATTGTAAATAAACGAAATCAGGTGGTAACCTTTATTTGCATGGCTTTTAATTAATTAAATTGCAGAAAGGTATGCAGCGTGATAGCTCATGATGAAAAGTGAGTTTATATCATTATTAACTTCACACTAGCTAGTTTAATCGTAGACATTTCATTTCCTGAAAAAGCGCTAATATACATGTTACCCACTAATCTGGGTCTGGTAGACATTTAAATAACCTAAATCTTGATGGGTTGGGATTCGGAAGTGAAATAATAAGATACTTGTAAAAAAGCGTCTACACACAGAAAGTGTTGTTAGAAGTAAGCAAGATGATTCCAAGTCCCATAAGAAAGAGCATCAAGAAACGTTTGGAATTTTATTATGATTATTATTTTATTTTATTTGAACACATGAATATTGGTACAAGAGAGCGCCAATATATATGCGCCACACAAGACAATGAAAATCCGAAAGAAGTACAAAAAAGACAAATAAGGAGCGCAAAAGAAAAAGAGAACAATAACGAGGAGATTGGTGTAAAGGTAGTGTGGTAGTAACGAGGGAACGAAAAGGTACAATCAGAAGAAATCTTTCAGGTAAGGGAGACACTACCACTTTTTATGAAGAAAGTAAAAGGTTACAGCAGGATCGCCACTGGCTTCTATTCTGAGCCATATCCGATAACGTCTCTAGCCACTGTGTTGCACCATCTCTCAGACCCGAACCACGGAGTCGTGAAGGACCGACTGAAGCCAGCCTTTTGCAGCTTTCTTTCATAACACGACACCATGTCATGCACTGACCACCTCTCCGCTTCTTCCAACCAGTCCCAGAGTCGGCAAATAATGCACGACGTGGAATTCTCTGGGACGACATTCGTAGAACATATCCAAGCCACCGAAGTCGGTGTTTCAAGATGGTGACACCAATTGCATTATCATCTCTGTGCCCGAACACACGGTGCCGAACCTCTGCATTACTGACATGGTGTTGACACTGAATGTCAGCAATCCTTCGGAGACAGCGATGATCGAACACAGAGTCGTCTAACGTTCTCAACTCGGAGAGACCAGGTTTCGCAAGCATAGAACAAAACTGCTCTCACCGACGCGTTGTAGATCCGGCCTTTTACAGCCAGACTAACATCACGAAGGCGCCAAAGGTGGCCCAGATTGGCATAAGCCGCTCTGGCTTTCACTATTCGTGCATTGATCTCATCACTCACACCCCCACCAGCACTCATACAGCTACCCAGATACACGAACTTCTCGACTACTTCTATATGCTCACCGTCCAGGGTGAGTACAGGATTGGAATCCTGCCAGTCTTGTAGAAGTACTTTGCACTTCGAAGGTGCAAAGCACATACCATACTTACGGACATTGATTGCCAACTGATTAAGTGCGGATTGCATGCCTTGGGCATTATCGCACAGTAAGACAATATCGTCCGCATACTCAAGATCAAGAAGTCTTTCTCCAGGCAACAGATCCACACCACCATTACTTACATTCATCAGAGCTGTTTCCAGAATGTCATCGATGGCAAAGTTGAAGAGGAATGGTGAGATCGGGCAACCCTGCCTAACCCCACTGCTCGAATGGAACAACGGAGAGAGGTGGTTGTATGCCCTCACTCTGCCTGAGGTGTTTGTATATAGGGCTTTTAGGATGTTATTAAACTTCTCAGGCACACCCTTCTTCAATAGACAATCCCAGAGAACAGTCCTGTCCAACGAATCGAAGGCAGCCCTGATGTCAAGAAACACTACGATTGTTGGCCTTTGATAAGTATGGCGGTGTTCTAACATTTGGCGGAGGGTGAAGATATGACCAATACATCCTCGACCAGAACGAAAACCAGCCTGCTCCTCGCGAGTCAATCTTTCTCGGGTTTTGAACAACCTACGAAGAATGACGGAAGCCAATAGCTTGGACGCAATCGGAAGTAGACTTATCACCCGACAGTTGTTACAGGAACGACGTGAACCCTTCTTAGAGATAGGAACGAGTATCGACTCATTCCATTATGTTGCAACACTCTCTAATTGCCAGATCTTTGTAAACAACACAGTCAGTTCCTTAGCCAGAAAGTCACCACTATATTTAAAAAGAGCCGGAGGTAAGTCATCTGGACTAGGTGATTTGTAGCGCTTCAAGAGTTGGAGTTCCTTGCGGACTTCTGCCTCATTTGGTGGATCAGTCGTCACCGGCCATGGAGGGCAGGACAGTCTGACCAATGTCGCCGGAGCAGCAGGCCAGTTGAACTGCCCTTCGAAAAATTCTGCCCACCGTCCAAGACGTCGATGGATGTTAGTGATTGGCATCCCATCATCCTCGCAGATTGTTTCACTCACACCATACTTCTTGCTGCCAGTGGCTCGGATGAGCTGGAAGAGCTTCCGGTAGTTACCAGATGCAACGTTTGGAATAACTGACTATGGGCAATACCTACTACATCAGAGCTAACAACACCATTGTTTTGTCTTGGTGGAATCAAACAAAATAGTATGTAACTATATATATATGAATTGTTGTAGTCCCAAGCTAGGATGAAACAGTTATCCAACGCTTTCTGGCTTCTGATGGTTGTTTACTTAGTCATTCCGTGACATTATCTATGAATGTGTACATCTCTTAGTTTTATTGCATGGTAGTTGAGTTCGTAATTAGCTCATTATACCCTCCCAGAAGCCTGTCCCAATAGTACATGTTTCGTAATACTCAGACATTCATCCCGTTTTCACTTAATTTTGTTACTTTTACTTACTTTCCTAAGTGTTGTGCTTTTATGTTGTTAAGACGTATAGCAACTTTAGGCGACTTACTACAAAATCAAATGGTACGTTGGCCTAGTCGTTTTGTTACTTGTGGAGACGAAATGTTGAACCATAACTTAAGAATTAATTGGTGCATTCTGTAAATAGTGAGTTAAGTGAAGAAGTATTGGCAACAAAATGTGAGAACTTCTAGGTAATAAAGGAAGATATATAATAAACAGTTTTGGAACTAAGCATCCAAAAGCTACTACAGGGAGACTACTTCAATACACTAGAGTTTACTGCCGTCTACGAAACGTCTATATTTTTTTACTCTGGTAATTAGAGATGGGCCTAAAAGAACTTCATGATAAATACATTTTCCATAATGTCTTAAATGCCTTAATTGCAAAATTTAGAACAGTGGTGGGTGTTTAACTACAAACAAACGTTGAGAGTATATCCAGAACAATAAACTTACCGATAACCTTCCTTATTTAGTGCATGATCAATCGGGAAGCCTAAAGAATTTAACTTTGCACGCCCTTCATCAGAACCTGAAGTTCCACTTAAGGGTGTGGTCCCACCCAGAACAGATGCCGAAGTGGCCCGACGAGTTGAACGTACAAGACCACTGGATAATCCATTATTTACATCACCATTTGATGAGGCAGCAGTTCTAGTACCAGGAAACCCTGGGACATCAGCATTAGTCACAGTACCAAGTGCTGCACTTTCTGATGATCCACCTGGAACAGTAGATATCACTGAAGAACCATTGTAAAAGTTTCCCATCCCACCAGATAACCCACTGCCAGGAGATTTGCGTTTGCGCCAAACAGGCACATCTATGCCATCGGCTTCATTGGTGAAAGGCAACTGATTATTAGAAGAAGTAAGATTTGATGATTGGTCAAGTGCATCAGAAACGGAACCTGATATAGATGGTTGGGTCTGTGACACACTGTTTGGTATGTTAGCAGAAGGAACTCCTAGTTTAGTAATATTTGTCCGAAGTTGACTTGTGAGAGCACGAAATCGATCATAACTTGGGCCAATCTTGGTAAGATCCTAGAAACATACAAATGAAACAAATTGATTAAACTGCTAAAACATAAATTTGGTCTACATGTAAGCAGCGTTAGTGAATGTGTCACTTCCAAAAAACTTACCTTTATAGTCTTTATAGGCTTACAAACTGAATATTCCTAATTTCTTCTAGAGAAGATTAAATAGCAAAAGTTTAAAATATGCTTAATCTGCCATGGCCAAAACAGATGGATCTACTTAACCGAATAAAGATACAGTTTGATACCGAACTCTGGTACATTTTAGGTAAATTATGTACTTAAACGAACAAACTACGATTATTAAGAGTTTCTAATAATAGCAGGAACTTCACAATCGCAAGATCTCAGGTTATGACAAGACCAAATGGCGCCTATAGTACTAATGATACTGTTTACCAAAAGACGGAAAGACTATACGCAGTTTGCTTTTACTCTCAAGTCACAAATCACCAACTAAAGGAAAACACGTAGGTTGAAAGTAATTGTTTTCGCAATACTGTATGTCTGCAATGAAATCACCCAATGAGTACTCCTGAGGTCAGACACTACACTTAAAGCAAGGGAAATTGGTTGCTGTAGATTTACTAGGTGCTTTTAATAACAAGTAAAGTAAAGCATCAAGCAAATAAAAATTTATTAAGTCTACTTTGAACCATTTTGTATGACGGTTAGTAATACTGCTAAAACGAAGTAGTTGATATGGGATTCATACCTACGACCTGTCTGTTGGAAGTCGACAACCTTTTATCTATGTACTGTTTATAATGCATAAATATTTTGATACAATAAGACAATAGGAGAATATGCCATACAAAAATTATATATTGTAAAGAAAGAGATGACTATATGATTGATCAGTAAATGGGCAAAAATGGTACTAAGTAAAAGATACAACTTTGTCTGAAATATAATTAAAGTGAATCTCATTCATCCAAAAGATTCATTTGATTCATATGTGAAAAGTGACAGAGAGCGAAAAGAGGTTCATTATAGGCTTCTATTCCGAACAATGTCTGATAGCCACTTCAATCACCAAACTCAATGAGTTATTGAATTTTAACTAAAGGATCGCGAGGTACCGATAGACCCCAGTCCTATATAGCCATCTTTCGTTTTAGCATCTCATGTCATCAACCGACTGACTCCGTTTTCTTCTACACAGCTACATTTCCGGTATATAATGTGCAGTGTGGAAGCCACTAGAATGATGTTCGTAAAAAATGCGTTAACCATAATTATATCAACGGAGTAATCATCACTGAACGCAAACAGTCTGACCTCGGAATTACTTGCATGTTGTTATCAACAGATGAAAGTTAATCTTCAGGGAAAACGATGACCGGTCACCAAATGGGACCACGTTCTTTCTCTAACCAGCAACCCATTAGTTTTTTAAAAGATGATAGCGACATTCTGGTCACTAAACTCATTGGATCTTTTGATAAATGTATGGAGAACTGTTTCAGCAATCTTGAACTAAATCTTGCCCACAACATTTGAGGAAAGTCGGTACAATGCATTTACTACTGAATGTGTCTAAAACATTTATTTCTACCATACTGCCGAAAATAGTTGGAACAGTGAACTTCGTAAAGTAGGCTGTTTATTTCAAGTTGTGGATATGCAGGTTACGTTTCTATGATCCACTAAATGTCTTCAATCTTTCTGCTGACAAATCTACGTCACCTCCTTAAGAGCAATGGCTAGGTCTATAAATGTACAGAGAGACTCGAAAACCTGTACAACCAGAAAAGTGGTTAAGTACAATGTATTAAGATGGTTTCGTGGTTATACTGTGACCAAAGTATTAGTAGTTAATTCCACCAAGATGTTGAGGAAGCTTCACTAGATTGTATACATATGACACAATAAATGTTGAAGAAAAAAGATACTTACAGTGTTCGACAGACATACACAAAGACCATCTGAAGTTTCTACCGTCTTGAATACATCACTACTAGTCTGTGGTAATAGATAAACAACCATAACAAACCAAAGTTTTGTGGATATTTGGATACCAAGAATTATTGGACCTTCTTGGCTGTGTTGTAAGTTCTTCCCAGTACTCCTCTAAAAAAGGGATGAGTTCCTTCATTTCCATGAAGTACAAACGCCCTCCATGCTTCAACATCAAGTTGGCAAGAGCAGTTTGACACATAACTGTAAAATTCGCCTGCTTTCTGGAAAATACTTCTTCCCCGATCGGGTTGCACTTCTTACACATGAAATGGTAAGCCGTTAGGAAAGGTAACGCCTTTCTTTAAAAAAAGAGACTATTTTACTGAAAATGTGGACAAACCCTATGTTGAATGCTATACATTCAAGATGGAACCATTTATAACAAACACTGCACTGAAAATCCGGTCTACTAAAATCACGTGGCGACATGCTGAGACATTATTATATGAATGAAAGCCACAAACCAGTAGCATTGAGGACCAGGAGGAGTCGGTATATTTACGACCATTGACAACTGAATATTCTGATCACAATCCATTTTCTCTGTGTTGTCCAAGACCTCTGATTTGCATTTTGATGCCTCTACTACGCTCTCGTTAGTCTATCAAACATTTAAATCTGCAAAATAAGAGAGGAAAATACCATCGGTTGGAAAACCCTTCACCGTAACGACAAGTTTAAAATGTGCGCTACTCAATACCCAATATCTTCGTCGCGAGCTCGTGTAAGCTACTTAGTCTTTTGCACCTCGCTTCTTGAAAATGAAGCATGGTTTCGGGCTCCTACAATCCTTCATTGTGGGTCATCTAAGCATTCGTGCGCTCTACTCTTTGTGAAATTTATAGATTCTTTGGGATTAATATTACTTGGATATCATTGAATGCTTTTGTTACACGGAAGTAAGTTTGATAGAACCAGAAGCTATCACATTGCTAAGCAGAAAGATATTAGATTACATTGCGAAAACCATACGATAGATTCCATAGGAGAAGAGGAAAGACAATGGTTACAAGAGGTTTATTGATTTGTAGTATCAGAAAATATCTCTGAGCCCTAATCAAATCGTCCGTCACATCGAATGGCTACGACGTTTATTGATGAAATACTGGGCGCCAAACGGTTTATCGAACCTCTTCAGGGTCATAGGTAGCTGACACGGATCGATAAATTTCTCAGGCCCATCCATCAATGTCCTTACGCTACGCCTCTCCAATCTGCAATCCGTAATGACATAATCCATTTTAATAAGGTTCTATTTTTCCTTGGCAGTGACTAGTGCAGTCCCGTTAGTTGACTACTGTAATAGAGTAAGACAAGGTGAACACTTTTTACTGGATGTAACTTCTACGTAAGCTAGGTGGTGGGTCACGCAATTCCCGCCTAAATCGAGTTAACGCATCATCAGTATTGGTGATCTACATAATTACCCCAACAATATAAGTGGAAAAAATTGCAAGAAAACCAAATAAACGGATATAGAGAGCAGCAAAATAAGTAGGAATAAGCTACTAGTAGTAATGATGAGGATATTAATGATAGTAAGTTTTGAAACGTAGCAGCCACAGCTAGATCGTATGTGAGTAAGTGGTTATCGTACCTCACACTGAAACAGTCAGCTAAGAGGGCTATACTCGCGTCGTACGGAGGAATATTTCAGGCAGAGCCGGTTCGAAGCAGGTAAATATGTGACCTTGTAGTTGTATTGGTTCTGACCACACGATATTTGAAGCTGAGCATATGATAACTGAAGAAATCAACATATACGTACATTAAACAGATATTAACTGACTTTCTAACTTGAACCAAAGATAATAACAATGTCAACATATATACAAAATCAATTGCTATCGATTTCCAAACACAAAATCCTTTTATTGCTCATAAGTTAAATTGTTAAACAGTGGTTATTACTATGCACCGTAGTATGACTTGTTAAAATATCTCTATACCGAATCAATCTTCACTATGATAATCCCACCTTATTTAACCCTAAAATAATTCTCAAATAGATTTTCACTTTGGGAGTGTTTGAAACTACTACATGTATTTCCCAATAACTTGCTTCTACACTCTTTTGGATTTATCTTCCAGCTTACCGACAGCCGAAGATTCGTATTATTCCTCCGAAAACCTCCGGAGCGAGATAATCCCACTCGAATTTGTATCGAATCAAGGTTACGTTGGTTCTGATGAGGTAGTAGTGTATTGGTAATGATTCTAATCAAGCGACACTTGAAGGTGATCATAAGATAACTGAGGAAACTCACACTCAACATTTAGCACTGTGAAAAGACCAGTGATGAAAAATGCAGGGATGATTGGAAGAAATGGCATGGCACGCTCATGCAGGCGTGATTACCCTATGTAACCTATTGATTTTTGTATTGAATATATTACTCTCTACCCAGCCCAAAATGTATTCTTCAGAAGTGTTAAACGTCGTGTTATTTACTGTCACGTAGGACGAGTATAAACCACAATCTGACTTCCAAGTAAGATCTTACGGGTTGGATAGTCACATCATAACGAATCTACAGTTTTGGGTTTATCATTATTATAGTAGCAAAGATAAATGTACTAATATCGAACTACACCACAATTATTCAGGAATTTTTCCCGAGTTTTCTACGATTTCTCTTAAGTTATCGATTAATCTAATGAGTGTAAGTCTTCTGCATTTGTGAGCTGCGTCTTCTCTCGCTTGTTGAAAATCTTCAAAGCCACTTTCAAATTCTGTCAAACTGAAGAACCTTTGGTAAGGCAGTTGCTATCGAAAAAAAGCGCCCAGTTCTATGGAAGCCATTTTGGAACTACTTTGTCAAACCGTATTAACCACTGGTAGGAAACAGCGAAACAACTCAAACTTTTTATTTAGATACAGAATACAAGGAAACAAACAATGTTTGAATTGACTCATCAATAAGAATTTTATAAAGAATATCCAGAGTTACCAAATTCACTTATTAGGAGATCAAAGTAGCATGCAATTAGGCGAACCATTTCTTGCTATTCAGATACAAGATGCCTACCGTCACTTCAACCGTTCAAGGTCGTATATACTACAATGGACTAGTTCTAAACAATAGCCTACTTAAAACGTATGCCACCAGAGCAACAGGGGAATAAATTTTCTCACATAAGAATCTGGATAACACGCATATCCAAATGGAAACGCCGTCGCGCTTTATTGAAGCTGTGTTGTGATGAACAACTGTTGGTTGAGAGTTAATTTAAATAAAGCTCACAGCTGTTCATATGAAGACGTAGTGTGATAAATGCATAACCAGCCTGTTAAAAACGTCAACTATCATGTATTACTTGGTACTTTTTGATAATGTTTTCCAGACAATCTAACAGGCTTCAGAAGACAAAACTATAAATCTTTCTGAAATATCAGGGGCATTAGTTGAGGTGCTGCAAGAAAACATATGATTCATCAATATTATTTCGATTATGTATCTCGACGGCGCTAAAAACGTGAAAGTAAAAGAAAAGGACCAGGAAATATTCATATGAGATGAAGTGGAATCACTTATGATGGGACAATTAAGGTGTGGTCACTTAGATTCATTTCTTTTTACGAGATCAAGTTTTATGTAAGTGTATCTCGTCCTGGAAACAAACCGATAGTACGGCAAAGCATAGAACCGCATAAGTGCTGGGGGGCTCAAAAAAGCTGACTAGTTTAAGATTATGCAGGTCTCTAGAAAGTGGTAAGGAGAACAAAGTGTTTTGATGCACAAAGGACTTCTTTCATGACAATTTCTATAACCTTTTTCATTAATGTTATAATCATAAAGCCATGAGTGGACCCCATATTAAAATAACTATCCAGTTAAGTTGTAGTAGGTTGTTTTAGCAAAACGTGAGGTACAAGGTTACAAACATGAGTAAAAGAGGATGCTTGTCATAGTAAACTAGTATGGATACCACCAGTTAGTTACATATCACTAGATCTCAAGGAGCCACGAGAAAACAAAGTTTTCTACCCTACAGTCATGTGATGATTAGGTTATCTCTACGCCACAATGTTTTCTGGTCAGAAACGCCACCTCACTTATATTGTGATGTTGGTCTATCCCTTACGCCTGTGGTCCGTCTTGACATTGCTATGATCTATACTGCACACCTCGTTGGATCAGTTTGTCTCTGTATGTTCCATGTTACAGGCGAATAGGAGCTAAAGCTACCGTATTACGGGTTAGATGTCAATTTAGTATAACACACTGATATGAAGTTAATTGATAGTATAAATTGTAAGCTAAATGTCAAATGGTATGTAGTTTGGATATGGTGAAGATAAACAAGTAGGCAAGTAAGAAAAGCAATTTACTTGAAGTATGACAGTAGTTCATAAGACGGACGAAAACCTACGATGTGCGGAATGTAGAAATATAATTATTTAGTCACTTATCATACACTAAAAGTATAAATAAAAGTGGCTAACACGTTTTCTGAGGTTACCGCTTATCTGATATTTATTCTGTTAACATGCGGAATATTTTAATTCAATAGGTCTACACCTTGATTAATGCTTTGACATTATTACCTAGAAAGTTGCTAAGAATGTTCTGCAGTTACTGTATGCAATATTTTGATAGTTACTAGTCCCTATGCATTACCTTGTAGCATCAACGATAACGAACGGAAACAGATTTTAGTCATCTCACCAAGTGACTGTTAAACAAGCCATTCTTTGTCTACAGGGATGATGACATATTCTGTGTCGCACAAATCTAGATGATAATTGTTTTCGTTAAATCAATCGTGTTCTCGTGATAAAAGCAAGTCACTGCAGTATAATGGGGTTCTATTTTCGGATTCATTTCCGGAAGAATGGGAGGTCAGCTTTCTGTTCCAGTCATTGCAATGTTGGTTTCCCAAGTGATCCAACTTTCTTTTGAAATCCTTGACAGATAGAGCTTCAATCACGTGTTGAGGTAGTGAGCTTCGTTCGTTGATGATCTGACTGTAAAGTCGATAATCAGCTGACAAGTAATTTGTTATAAACTTGTGAACTCTTCCAAAGTATGCCCGTAAATTCTATGTTTTGGATGATAAGAGAAATGAGGGCATCTCATATGCAAAATTACCACTAAGTTACTCAAAAACATTGAATAATTCAACTCTGGTTCTTCTGTATGACAATGAAAATAGATTTAGGCTGACCAGTCGAGCACCATACGGGAGCATAGCTGACCCGAGAACCAACTTATCAGTGATTATCCGGACCCTTTCCATTATTGTACTGCATATGTTTAGGTGGAAGTTTGCCGTTTATATGCAAGACTCCAGTTTGAGACTGATGAATACTCTATACAAAGTCAAAAACGCTTTGCCATCGACGTAGCTAAAAGCTCTACGCTTAGACCTTAGGGTTTTAAAAACTTTGGCAGCTATTGCATGGCAGTGTGCGGTGACTCCTGGGACACTGTGTCTGGACAACGGGGAGATCAATGTTACACACCTTGTATGTATTTATAGAATTATAATCTAGTTCGTCATTAGTACTGCTCTGATAGTAGACCTAATCCTTAAATTAGGGATTTTTCATCATATGACTACATAATTTATAATATCTTACGTCTACACTGACCCGTCCTATCGTAGAAATCACCTATATATGATGGAAAACACATTCCGACTGGAGACCGAACAATATATTTTTAGAGTAAAAGAAGTCACACAAG